TTTATACCGCATTGGTGCTGCAGTGAGAGGTATTGATACTACTGGAGACGACAACACTCGTTTGTTCGCAACGCTTCTGAGCACCCCTGAGGCAGTGTGTTTCCACATGTGGCATTTTATTTGATTTGTTGTAGCCCAACGCGGCACCTGCAGACTCTGCAGAATGTCTTTTATTTGCAGGTTCCTTTGCGTGGGCCAAGGAGTCATCTCCGTGCGGTTACGCCAGACTTTGCCGCGCCGGATTTTTGCCAGTTGCAGAACGCTTCATGCATCCAGCCGGTCAGTTAGCTAAAAAAAAAGACATTCATGCAGACAGCATTCTATGACAGAAAAACGGGGATATTAGCGGTAGCAAGAGTCACCAGTATGTTGATTGCTGCTTGCTGGGACGACGGTCTGCAAATCGTAACGACTAGGCATGAGAGCACCCGTATATTTATATAACTTGCGAAGCGGAAGCAAGGATATACTAGTGATGATTCACATCGTCCTTATACAGGCAACAGGAAGGGTTCTTTTACTGTTTCTTCGTGTGACCCGTACTTTTTAGACGATTCCTATCCTCAGTTGAGCACAACGCTGTTGTTGCCAAAGTTGCATCGAGAACGGATGTGCCTGTTCTTGAATCTGGATAAAGGCGTGACTCTTGCCTCGAAGAACCTACGGCGAAAATCCCGGCATTTCCTGGTGTCGGTAGACAGGGCTTTTGACGAGGTGGGTTGTGTTTGGCCTTTTACTATGCTGTATCAGCTGCCTGGGTAGCTAGCGATTCGTTTCTTCCTGTTCCTGTTGTGTCCAAAGGGCGTCTTTGCTGTGCTGGCGCCGTGTGCAGGTACTGGCTGGATGTGTGAGGCGCCACGGTGNGTCCAAAGGGCGTCTTTGCTGTGCTGGCGCCGTGTGCAGGTACTGGCTGGATGTGTGAGGCGCCACGGTGAAAATTGGCTGTGGAAGTCCGTGCGGCAGGTGCGACCACTGCGGTTATTTCTGTCGTACGCATCTAGAGAATTTTAGCCTCCATTCCTTGTTCTCCATGACCAGTAGGCACTTGCTGGTGCAGCTGTGACACCTGTATTCACTAGCAGATGAGAGAAAGGAACGCCAATGTCTAGTTTTTCGCAAAATGGATTTGGGCGTTTAAGGCTGTGTTTGCGCAGTCTGTGCCTTTGCAATTGCCAAAGTGTCTCAGAGCTCTGCACCGGCGAACTTTGCGCGAGGCTGCACTACGGCGTCAGCGCGAAGGCTTACCTGAAGGGTCTTCTCCTGAGGCTCCTGCCCCGAACCACCACGGCGTACAACAGACTGTGCAGCAAAGTGGTAGCGAATTTCTTTGTCCTGAAGATGTGCAGCTGCACAGTTTTGAAGTTTGGGTACCGCTGTGCGAAATCGCCAACATCAAGCTTCTACCCTTGAAAGCCTCTACAGCGGAGGATACGGACACTTCAAATNGTGCGAAATCGCCAACATCAAGCTTCTACCCTTGAAAGCCTCTACAGCGGAGGATACGGACACTTCAAATTCAACCGAGACCGCACACGGAAGCGAGCTACCTGCAAATGAGTTGTCGGAGGCTTTGACCTCTCTCGGTTCCTCTATCCGCATAGGGGAAGCCAGCACACAATATAGGGACCTTTGCCTTGTCGCAGGAGAAGTCGGTGTATCCATCGGCAGGGTGTACACCAGCCTAACAGCCTTCACGGATGCAGACTCAGCTGGCACTGCGCAACTTACTGCAACTCGACTGCTTTTGCGCAAAGCCGGTACGCGAAGCAGCCTCTTTGATTTATAGGGAACGTATTACTACCAGCGCTGTAGCCCTGGCACTATTTGTGTCTAAATTGCTGTGTATGCGAGAATGGTGAGTAGCCGCTTCACAAGTGGGCGCTGCCTCGCGTGTTGTATGTGATGCTGTTGCAGGGTATGAGCTTCTGGATTTAGGGATGAATCTGCCCTACAAAGCAACTCTGGGGGCGAAGCCGCTGCCCCGAGAGGTTTTTCTTAAATTGTTTCGACGCCTTCGAGACCGAAACGCCACACCGCTTGACGCCACAATGCAACAATGCCACGAATCAATACAGGCCGCAGCCAAGCCACAATATGGAACCACCGAACAATCGAAGGGCCAGTGGGTTGGGAGACAGGATGGGACGTCGCGCACGGCCTCCAAGGACATTAGAGGGGAACCCACACCACCAGCGGCGGAAAATGTGCAGAGACTCCATTTGCCTCCAGGATGTGTTCGATGTGTCGATCTATTTAGGCTGCTTGAGGGGTCATAGGAAGCACGAGGCACCATTGAGGGCAACGGCCTTGTAACGCCGCCAGAGTTGGGCACCTCAATGCAGGTAGGGACGCCCTTCACTCAGACGGAAGCAAAAGCTAACTCATTTGAAGAATATTTGTGTAGGGTGAGCAACGCGTCCCCTCAAACTGCTATCTCACCGCGGGAGCTCAAAAAGAAATAGTTTGCTGGGCCCGTAAAATGCAGGCCGATACGATTGCGCCCCAACTATTCAGAGGCTGCTCAACAGTGATTGCGAACCTGCTGAAGCAATGCTCAGCATTTCAGGTCAAAACACTGCATCCAGTCGTGAAACGTACATGCATAGTTCGTGCTACGACGAAATCGAGCGCAGACAGGATCCTTTAGTCGTATGCACCTTAGTCAGTCCAACTGTTTGCTTCGGCTCAACTGTGCTCAAGGGTGAGACATTAAACGCGTCATTTTAGAAAGACATAAAAAGTGTACGTGACGGGGAGTCTAGTATATGGCATCCCTGTCATTGCGGGGCGACGAAAAGGGAAGTATGCCGCCAAATGATGATGTGCATTCGTCTACGAGTGCAATGCAAAGTTGACTTTAAGTGAAGACCAAACTTTGTAAACTCAGTGTCATGTTGGGACAGCCGAAGCTGCCTCGAGCAATGCTTGGCTGTGTATAGTTGCAACAGTGCTGACAAACTGCACAACAGAAGATTGAACATTCTCTTCGCTTGCGATAAAGCCGGTTAGAAGAGGGCCGAGCTCACAGCGAACTTAAGAAGGTTGTAGGGGTTTTCTGGGGGGCCCCAGTTGCTGCAAGACTCACAATTAACACTCAGAGCACACAATCAAGCTCATGGACAAACATACTACTACTGCTACGAGATGCCAACTTTCTGCGGGATACCGAATATAGCGGGATACGAAGGAGAGGAGAATCATCCAGACAGAATGTAGGAGGGTCACGTGCATAGGGAAAAACTGCACAACTCTCTTCATGAATTTTTCAGAGTAATTAACTTTAAAGGAGCATTATATTGCACCAACTATTCTCAGGGGCACATGTGCCGCGCGTAGGGGTTCAGGAGATGCGTATGTGAAGTGCACCTCCCTGTGTGCAAACTGATTTAGATGCTATGCGAAGCCTAGCCAGGAAATAGCAAACGAATGCACCGAGTCTGCATTTCAACAGCCAGGAGAGGTCCTGGGCTGTTCGGATCAATACCACTGTAGACCGTGGTAGGCGTACTTTCGTGGCGTCTGAACCCCCCAATAGCCAGGTGCTATCTGAGGAATCGGCAGTCCTTCGTCAAGACCTTGGAGCGAGCATCTGAGGTATATCAAGTCTTTTTATCGGCCAGCCGGTGCAGTTCTCTGTGCTGGAGTGCCGTCTCAGTAAGAAATTCAACAGTGCCGTCCAACCGCATGTTCGGCTGCAGGAAAAGGAATGTGCACATGCCCTAGCGAAGAAACTATTTCTGGATTGTTGCTGCTTACCGCTTCGGCTACCGTGCTGCTTTTTTGCAGGAAAAGCACTCTTCCGTATATTTTCGTGCTTCTGCAGTATAGCAATAGCCTCACCACAACCATTTTGGAGAGGTCAGATAGATCGCCACTGAGCGATTCTATTTCATCCCGCACGCGGCAGTGCCTGAGCCTAATCAATTACGTCCCATCCGTACACAGAGCAAGACAAACTAGAAGACTAGCTCGGGATTCCTCTGTAGCTCTACTATAATGCGCAGCAAACAGCCTGCCTAGTTCCACCAATAAAGTGACGCACCATGCAGCTAAATAATCAGCAGGTGGAAGGACGGAGCGCTGGAGTCGAAGGAAGTTCTCGCTCCACTCGATCATGTCCAGTTGCCTTTGCA